TCTCACGTGACACAGTCACACTGCAACCCAGGCCCCCTCTTCAATGGTTTTCTACCAGCATTTGTATCTCTTCTAGGTGTCCTAGGGAGCTATGAAGTTCTTCGCCCAAAAACATTCAGTGCACACATCCCGTGCACTTTGGCATAAAATCTCAAGGAGTTCACAGTCTCCTCCTGAATCCTAACAGCAGCCTGTCCAGCTCAGAATCCCTGAGTTGAGGTGACTGCCATTTCGGGGATGGAAACACAGTAGGCTCAGTATTGAGAAGAGGCCTTGGATTCATTTGTTCATTTATGGTTGTCAAAACTGAATCCAGGAATCTGGAGTACATGGGATTCTGGTCATAGAACCAAAAGAAGTCACATTAAGAAATCAAAGAATTGACCAAGTAATTTAGAGAGCAAAATAGTTACGGAGTGGTTTCTGATAAGCTGTGTGCTTAGCTATTACTAATGAAGATAAAGTCACAATCATAGTCTCTGCCCCTGCGATGCAGATACTCCCAACTGAGCTGAGAGCAGACTGCCTCTCAGGCCAGCTGCTCTGTTAAGTGGGACCTACTTTCCATCCTGCCTGAGAGCATGTATCTGATCTTCTTGAAACTACATGCTTGGTGTTATCACCCCTTCTTTCTCAGTCCCTACTGTTCTTTCTGGAACCCTCTTAAATTTCTCTGAGGTGTGGAGTTTATTGAAGTAAATGGAGACCAAATCAGGAGGAGGATGAAAAGGACGAGGCTACAGAAACTCCAGGTGGGGACCAAGAGGTCAGAAGGGACACTCGTGATGAGGCAAAGTCAGCAAAAAGAGGATAGACATGCAGGGAAGAAAGCAGAAATTTCGTTACAACAACCTAAGACTATGGCTTTGTTGCAGGACATTTCTATGCAAAAGACAAAAGCAGCCTTGGTTTTTGTCTAACATGAAAGAAGAATTTTCATGTGGACAATTTCATTGGGCACAGCAAGATTTATTGAAGATAGAAACCTCCTGCCACAACTTTAGGAAGAGCTTTTGAAGACAGAAAGACCTGAGAAAATGGTGGATGTGGTATCTTTTAAGCACAGATGAAGTGAGCAGAATAACAGCTAACAATCAACAGGAGAGTGGGGACAAAACCCGTCAGAAGAAGGCCAGAATTATAACCCTGTCTAGCTTGCTCTTGATAAAGTCATCAGAAGGGTGTGACTGGCAACTTCTTTCCATTCTCATGATATAACTAGGAACTCAGAAAGGTGGAATGGCACCTGTTAAAAGCACCTTCTGGACAGAACAAGCACCTTGTATACTTGTAGAGGCTCCCCTTTCCTCATCTCAACAGAGAAGGGACCCTGACCACCTATTAGCCCATCCAGCTCCTTACAGGTTACGGGAATGGCTCTCAATAAATGGGTAATGGATATTTTGACACCATCATATCTGATTCCCCCTCTAACGTGTAGTAATAGTACTTATGTCGTGTCGGTTTGTTGTGAATATTAAATGAAAGGTCACATATAAAGTATTGAGCATGCCCAATACATGTTTTATGCTTACTACCATTATCTTTCTTGCAGATGATACTGAAGTTATTAATCTAGTTAAAGGATAAAAGGATGAACAGTCATCCTCCACTGTAACACCTCCTTCAGTTGCTCTACTGACCACTGCTTTCCTTGGTCATTTCCTTTCATCTTGTTCCCATCGAATTAAAAGGCCTTAAGGAGAATTTGTTTCTGAAGCTGAAACTGTTTTCAGAGAGAGACTGATGAGAGTCGTTTCTGCCCAGCCACTGGCTGGATATTCCCATGTTTGCTCATTCTCCATGCTACAATATCTAGCCAGCTTCTTGGACATAGGGGCTGTCTTGTTGTCTGTTTTGTCCTCAGTGTCTTATACAGGGTCTGGCCCATTGTGGCCACTCAGAATGTACTGGTTGCATGGATGGATGAAAGGCAGATGGATGGGCAGGCAAATACAGGTCCTCCTGCCAAGCTATTTCTGTTGATCTATTCTCTTCCTTCTTGCCCAAACCCTAAGATGCTGGAGATCACAATGACCTCCCCTTTATCCAGTTCATCTTGACTTCTTTGCCCCATCTTTTTCTTTTCCTGGCCGTATGGTCCTTGAACAGTGTTGGCCACCCCACAGTGTGGTGCCCCAAAGCCTCATTCTCTTTTTTTTTAAGGTTTATTTATTTTTATTGCAAAGTCAGATATACAGAGAGGAGGAGAGACAGAGAGGAAGATCTTCCATCCGATAATTCACTCCCCAAGTGATCACAATGGCTAGTGCTGCACCAATCTGAAGCCAGGAGCCTGGAGCTCCTCTGGGTCTCCTACATGGGTGCAGGGTCCGAAGGCTTTGGGCCATCCTCCACTGCTTTCCTGGTCCACAACCAGGGAGTTGGATAGGAAGCGGGACCACCAGGATTAGAACCGGCACCCATATGGGATCCCAGTGCATTCAAGGCAGGAGGACTTTAGCTGCGAGGCCACCATGCTGGGCCCCCCCAGAGCCTCATTCTTTCTGCCTGACTTTTCTGTGTGGTGACAGACTGAAGAAGTTGTCAGAGAGATGCTCTTCGCTGAGGGGGCACATGGGGAGACCTGGATTCCTGGGGGAGGGGAGGGGGTGGTGGAAGGAGAACCTGAGTGTTGTCACCTTGCCTCCAGTGAGTGCCAGTAAGAAAAAACACTTTTCTAATGACAGCTGTTGTTTAGATTTTTTTTGTTTTTTGTTTTGTTTTGTTTTGTTTTTACAATGGCTTAGTAATTAAGGAAAAAGAAACTTGATGCTATTATCAGCTCCAACAAAGAATGAATGGAGAAAATGAAAAACCTGGTTGGCTCTATAAATACTATTTCATGGCAATTTAATACTGTTAATCTTTTCATTCACTTTGCATAGATTTATCCATTGTTGCTTGTATATATCAGAAGTGTATGTGTGTAAGTAAACATGAAAATGAGTAACACAAAACCTTTGTCCTCAAAGAATTCAGTATTTAGTTTTGAAGATAAGAAATACATACATATAATACAGCAGGATGTGAGCCACAACAGATTCAAAAACCAGCAGGTAAGGTAAGGGAAGTTGCAAAAAACAGAGAGGGCACTTGTCAAATGCAGATGGCGATTTGTCTTCAGAGGGAGTCTATGAGTCATGGCAGAGAGCACCGGTCCTGGCCTAGAGAGGATCTGCTCCCATCACCTGCAAGGCCTTGGCCGAGCACCTGACATCACTGACCCAGGGATTAGACTAAGCCAGGCCTCCACACAAGTGCCTCATACCTCCATGTCTCCTACCTGGTTAGTGTCAGACATGTCCTACAGGAGGACCCTCTGGCCTGTACCTAGAATAATGAGCTCTGCCTGTAATTTATTGGCACCAGGTGCACATGATAGGTTTTAATTTTAATTTCGAACCCTCTGCATGTTCAGCCATTGCTGAAGATGTCTGGTCATCTGCCTTATGTCATAAGAACACTCAAGTGCACACTGGTCACAAGAGAGGCAGATGGATCTATACCAATGTGCCTCTCACAAAGCACTCCCAGCCCAGGGGCTCCTCACACTCAAGGGTCAGATGTGTTGTTGCTTTCACGAAGCAGAGGTCCTTGCTGGGTCTAAGTGGGTCTGCACTAAAGCCAAGCAGCTCTTATTTCCTCTATTTCCACTTTGCTAACATTAGACTGGAAAAATAAGACCAGTGCCTTTCAACACCCACGGTCTCATGAATGTGACACTGTGGGACCCTTAATCAGCGAGAACACAGGCGAGTTCTGTTCCCAGTTGCCTTTGCTGGATAAAATGGGATTGCTGAAAATCTGCATTTTTCTTGCAGAAATTCACAAGATTCCACAAGGCTTTATATCCTCATGAAATACATAGTTTTATATACACACACACACACAATTTTTTCACAAAAAAAAAAAATATGTGTTTTCAAAAACAATTGTTTGGCTTTCACCCTAAGCCAACAGTTCTAGGTGTTTCCTGGAAAAAGGTAGAGTATTCTTTTGAACAAAATGAGAACCTGTTTCGCAGCAAGGACATCAGAAATGCTTTTCTGAGTAGACTCCCATCCTGGCTGAGAAGGCTGGGCAGAGGAGGGGAAGTGCTGTCTCCAGCTCAGCCACCAGGTGTGGAGCAGCGGCTGGGGACTTACCCAGGCTTACTGTTAGAACCTCCTCACCCCTTCCTCCATCACCTCCTCCCCACCACGAACGCATATGGAAGTTTTTATCAGGCAACTCCCCCTAACGAAATTTAAATTTGCTAAGTAGACATTTATATGAAGCATCTGGATTTGAGGTATGAAAAAAAAATCAAGTTGATTTCTTAACTCCAATATGTTTTTAAATAAAGAAAAATCCCTCTTCATATACGACAAAAGAACTGTTTCCCATTTCACATGTGCATTTGACTTGACATGAAGTGTATGATAGGAAAAGTACTTTAGCTATGCAGAGAATCTTTGAGCTGAGAAATAGATATGAAATGAGAGAAATGATGGCAAAGAAATGATACCAAAAAATATATACAGCATAATCCAAGATCCCAGATCATCATCTCACATCTTGGCTGATCCCACCTTCAGGTTTTTGCAAAGTTTCACTTCTTTCTGATGTATTTGTCTTAATGCTTACTAATATAAATCCATTAGTAAAATTAGCTGTAGTTTAAAACATAAATGTAAATATTTTACAAGTAAAGATATTAATGTCACTGCTACTTTTATTCATCAAATACAATTTGAGTTCCTACTATGGACATGTTTTCAATCTCATCTTTGAAATAAATGTGGAATCTTGGGGGCAGTATGATAGTTGCTAATATTTACTCAGTACTTGCATTGTGCCAGGGTAATTTACGCTCATAGTCTGCCATGTGTATGACATCACGGATGGGTACAGGGACTCTTCCTCTTTTGTCATCTGCCCCAGTAAGAGCTTTGTCTTGTTGGAACACTGGGATAGTTAGGCTTATAGCTGAAGCTGTGTTTCTTGTCCCTCCACAGGCATGAATGCTTTACAGTTACAGAATCTGGCGACGCTGGCTGCTGCTGCAGCCGCAGCCCAGACCTCAGCCACCAGCACCAACGCAAACCCTCTCTCTACCACAAGCAGCGCCTTGGGAGCTCTCACGAGTCCCGGTAAGTGGCATGGGTTGCTTTTCCCTTGAAGGTGATGGCAGTGGGAGCGGGTGCCCAGAACCTGTATGGCCCCAAATGCAAAGGGCAGGACCACACATGTCCAGGAAGGTGTTAGAAGCATGTCCCCGTCTATTTGATTATTTTGTTAAAGGAACAAATTTCGAATGTTTGTTGTCATTTTCCAAAGAAATAGTGGGAAAAGGTTTTCAGAGAGAATGCATCACACCACTGATTCTCACACACTCATTTTGTTTAATAAAGAGGTCTGCCTTATCCATTCCTTCCTCATAAGTTAGATCATCCCAGTGAGGAACCTCCCTCTCTTACTCCTGCCTTTTTGGTCCAGTCCCCCTTTTTCAATGACTTGAAACATTCTCTCTCCCCAAATCCCTGATTATTAGTGTTACATTTCTCATCATCTCCATCTTTCATATTTGATTTTGAAATACACGGCCTAATGAGGAATATCTTTGTTATTCATTTAAGACCAGATTCTGGGATATGTGACTTAAAGTCTTTTTTTTCTTCCTCAGAAATTTTGTTACCTTATTCAGAAGGAGATCCTATTTTCTTCTCATACAAGCCTGATATAATGTTGTTGCTTAGATACCACAGTTGGGTTTCTTTTTTTATTTTAATTTTTTCTTGTTGTTGTTTCACTGACTTTGCTGACTTTTCTAGACCATCTTGACACTTGCTCTCACCTCTTCCCTATCCCATGAAGGAGTTGGCCTGGATCACCTCCAAGCTTACTTCTAACTTTGAAAACCCTAGGACCCTTTCTCAGTTGTGCCCAAAAAGATTAGCTTTAAGTATTGACAAAACTTCAAGCTAACATTGAAGGATGTTCCTTCAGAAAAATACACAATGAAACCTGTGGCACATTATAGACCAGCTTTTTCGAGGATTTTGACTTCAGGGAGAGTGAAGCCTGCACTGGCAGAGTGTAGGGACAGTCGTGCTTGGCCTCGTTATGAATACTGTGTATCTAACTTATTTCACCCTGCAGGCAGTATGATGGGAGAAACCTACGACATGTTTAGTAAAAACTGGTAGCTTTATCCTTAATATGTTGAAATTTCATGGCCATAACACATAGGCGTATTGACTTAGCTGTAAAAATACTTTAAAATAAGCCATTACTATGTATGGGCCTTGTTTTATGCAATAAGCAGCATTCCATTAAAATATATATTTTTAAAGAAATTAAGTTATAGCTTTAATGCAATCCATAAACTTTTAACTTAAGTTAATCTTCAAATGACCCTTTTTTAGGAAATAAACTTTTTTAAAGATGTATTTACTTGGGACCAGCACGGTAGTGTACTAGGTAAAAACATCACCCGTGATGCTCACATCCCATAAAGATGCCAATTTAGGTCCCAGCTGTTTCACTTCCAGTCTAACTCCCTGCCACTGTGCCTGGGAAAGCAGTGGAGGATTGCCATAGTGCTTGGGCCCCTACACCCATGTGGGAAACCCAGAAAAGGCTCCAGGGTTCTGGCTTCTGGGCTCAGACCAGTCACCTCCATTTGGGAAGTGAACCAGCAATGGAGGATACTCTTCTCTCCCTTCCTCCTCCTTTCTCTACCTCATTCACTTTTCATCTATAATTCTGCCAGTCAAATAAGTAAATAAGTCTCTTTAAAGATTTATTTGCCTACCAACTTATTTGAAAGGCATAATATCAGAGAGAGAGGGAGAGGCAGAAAAAGAGTGGGGGATCTTCCATCACTGGTTTGTTCCCTACATGGCTGAGACAACCAGAGCTAGCTCAGGTTGAAGCCATTGGGAGAGAACTGTATCTGGGCCTTGCACATGGTGGCAGGGCTGCTGGGACTTGAGTCATAATCAGCTGCATCCAGGTAAATCAGCAGGAACCTGAATTAGAAGTAGAGCAGCTAGAACATAAGCTGGCATTCCAATATCGTAAGATAGGCTTAATTCAATGTACCACAATACCAGCCCTGAAAAATAAGCATTTTTATGTGACAATTTTTTCCTTACTAAAGTGATTTTTCTTAAAATAATTTATCATTTATGTTTTATAAATCACATTGGAATGTATCTTCTTAAGGAAAATAAAATGATTAAGATGGTACAGTATTATATGTCTTTTTAATCAAAAGATGATTTTTCAGTTTAAGAAGCCAACTGTTAATAGCTGATCAATCTAAATAATCAGAAAATGTTATCGGAAGTTCCTGTGTGGCGTTAAGCACTGTGTCTATACCAAGGACACAGCAGTGATCAGAACAGCCAATTCTGCCTTCTTTCATGAGTCTTTGAGATCATTGGGCGAACTCATCGAATACCCAAGTACATGGATGGGAGTGCTCACAAGGCGTTTGAAGGAAACGGTCCTTCTCTCAAGGTGATAACCGAGTGGAAGCCTTGAACTGAGGGAAGCATCTTCAGACAGCAGAGGGATACTGTGAGGTAGCAGGGGACATGGCGGGCTGGTAGATGGCAAGGAAGCTATGGTTCAGGAGAGCCAAGGGACAAGGGAGACACAAGTCTGAAATGGCTCCCTAACCTCTGCACCTAATGCCGAGGGGTGCACAACTTGTAACCTTGTTAAAACGTGGGACACTTGAACAGCCTGTGTGCGTGGCCTGAGTGTCAGCATGAATTTTAAATGCGTTCAGCCATTGTCCGTTACTTCCTGAGACTATTAGGGAAACTGTCCTTTGCAGTGTTCCTGCATAGACTGCCCTGTGGTGAATTCTGCTGAGGCATCCTGGAAAGCAGCTTTTTCCTTTGTTGTGGAATGCTTTGCATAACGCTTAAATGTGTCTCATTAGAATCCTGAAGTGTAGCAGCAGAAGCAGTTTAAGTCTATTTCAGTTATTTATCTTAAGAGTAACTGAAAAAAATGTGGTGTTTACTTGAAAAGTTAATTATGTGTCTGATTTCTGTCAGTGGCTTTTTAGAAGTCACACACACACACACACACACACACACACACACACACACACACTCATATATTGGTTAGTAGAATTCCTGCCTCTCCACTTTGACAGTAAATGTGAAAGCCATTCCCAAAGCTAAAGCCATTCTTTATTTCTACATAAACTGGACTTACTGTACTAACGGGAGTGTGTCCAGTCACTCTGTGAAATACGTGGAGGCCTCATCGCATCGCTTCACACAGACTACAGTTTTACCTGATTTTTAAAATGTCTGTTAAGCTTCAAATTCATCTAGAAAGGAAAGGGACAATTGAATCCCCCAAACTATTAATTTTTTTAATAATTGTAAATTTATCCTTTTAATTTTGCATACCCAGGAAAGGTCTCCCTACAGCATTATTATAAATGATTTTAAACAGTCTTGACTTTAAAACATGAAAGATTAAGCTTTAATTTTTGTTTAAAAAAATCCCCTAAGGCAATAAATAGGTTCCTTTGTCTCATGGCCTTGAAATAAAAATTAAAATAGATTAAATTGCCCATGGTTAGAATAAGTGTTTCATGCAATTATCAGATGGTAGAGAATAAAATTAGAAATTAAATCATGAAAGAATAAGAACCAGGTAAGTGCATATTATGCCTTTTATGAATTTCTCCCTGGTCTTTTGAAGCCTAATTTAATCGTGTTTCTTTTATTTTGATATGATAATTTTTCCTTTGTTTACTTTGGTCTTCTATTTAGTTAATTAATTCTTGGGTCATTTCTTCTTTCCAATCTGGAACCTGTTTGTGAGGATTGTGTCTCTGTATCAGGAGGCAAATGCTCTACAAGGCATGCAGCTAGGTGTTAAAGAAAGATAATAATAATTACCTCCTACCCAGCCTGTAAGATTTCTTATTTTTATCTGGTAAATCGGAGAGCTTGGTAGCGTTGACTATCACCATGTATGAACATTTCTTTGCCGTTTTCTTTCTATTACATGCTGTTGCATCATGTACCACATTATTTCACTGACCTCCAACTTCCTTTTGTAAGGAAAAGGATGTTTTAAAAATCACCAAATGTTACTGTAAGAACAGACTCAGTCAAGTATGGATTTGAGGATAATAGATTATTTCTTTCAATAGTATAAGGTACTTTAAAATGCTAGGAAGGGCTTTTGGTGTGTTATTTCTTTTTTCATTTCCACCATTGCTTTTTAAAGTGTCTTCACTTTAAATTCCAGGCAGTACCTCCCCCTAACTTCAAGGTGCTCTGTGCCTCCTTAAAGGCTGTGGCAGACACCAAGTTGCAAGGAGCGAAGCTGTTTGAGGTTAACAGAGGCTGAAGGTGTTTTCACAAGATTCAGACCTTCCCTGCCCGCCTCACATGATAATGACCTGTGAGTGGCTACTGTGTGTTTGAACGATCGACAGGAAACAAGAATTTACCCTCAGAGTTATCCTAGAGACTTTTCAGTTCACAGGAAGCTGTGGCATCCCTTTAAATGTATTTGTATTTATATCATAGGAAATGAGATGAGTGAAGAGTTGTGATTTCTGAACATTATGGTTTGTGCGAGAAAAGTAGTTTAAAAATGAGAGCTCCTACATTGCTCTCCCCCAAGCTGTAAGATGCTCAGGGTGGTAACCCAAATTGGAGTATGATGGGACCAGGAGAGATGGATAGACAGAGACCCACTCAGTGACACCACAACACCAGAAGCTGTAAGGATAAGGCTAAACTTTTCCCAAGACTGTTCTTCCTAGAACCTTCTTCACCCTGTTCAATATATCCTTATGGCCAGCCCTGGATCACTACTGCCTTTTCAGTCCCTGTACACGGTCTGTTCTCCCTGGGAAGCACTGGTACTGGCTTAGATGAGGCCTTCGTTTTCACTCCCTTGTCATAATGCAGTAGCCTGCATCTCCACTCCACCCTCTCTCCATTCTGCACACTGTAAAACAAAGCAGCACCTCCCAGACACTTTCCATGTGGTTAATGGTGGCATAGACCTGTGTAAAACAAATGCTGACTGTGGCACCCCAGGTCCTCCCACGTCCAACACAGTCATTTCCTGCCAGAATCAGCTATTGTCTCCACCTTCC